GAAATAAATTGGATGGGAGGTGGGGGTAGGTTTGGTGAACTTTACTGCACGGGAAATTAGAATCTGTAACTTGTATTCATGAGGTTAAATAAAATCTTTATAAATTTGGGTTGGGCCTAATCTGCATCAAACAATGGTGCGCAATAGACTCACCTCCATGTGGTGCACCCTGGACAACGTATCTAAGTACGGCAAAAATGTCTATCACTCGGCATTCGAATTGAATTCGATTTATTATGATTAGCTTGAAAAAAAGACTATAAGAGAAATCGCGATCGTCAGGGCGAATTACAACGTCTTCAGATCCTCCAGTGGAATGGTGGAGGGATGTCACAAAACAAAAAGGTCCAAGTCAAAAAATCCTACATATCTCTGACGTAGACATATTCACAATTATGGAAGCAAAAATTTCGGATGAAAAACTGAAGTACTACCGATTTCCAGGTTACACCCTGTACCTTCTACCTAAATACCGGCATGTTGCAAGTGGAATTCTAACTGGAGTAAAAGAAGGCCTCACCTCACACTACGATCTAATCAAGTGTATGGGCTCGACACAAGACATATGTGAAATAATCAGATTAAGTGTTTGGAAATGTCAAAACCACTTCAAGATATATGCAGTCTATAATCCACCCCAGAATTGTCCCAACTTTGATTTTCTGAACATCTCACACAAAACTATAGTATTAGGAGACTTCAACGCCCATTCCACCATATGGGGCTACAAGGATACAAACATAGCTGGAAAGGAAATTAAAGACATGCTAAACGGCAACCCCCTGGAACTTATTTACAGCAATGAGGATTCGGCTACATATTTGCACTACAATGGAACCAGAACAACTCCTGACTTACTCCTGGCTTCAAGCGACATCAGCGAACATACACGCCGAAAAATAATTGACGATCCTGGTTCTGGTCACAAACCAGTCATTGCTAGTATTACCTTCGGCAGCAAAAGCATGTTAAAGAAAGTGCCAACTAAGCTATCATGGAACTTCAAGAAGGCTGACTGGTCTAGATTCACTAACCCTTTAGATAATGAACTTCACACAAGTCCCCTAAACCTTAACCAACTCCTGACCAACTTTACAATGATATCACGAATATTATGGTCAGATGTGCAAATAAAACTATTTCTAAAGGCAAGACTAAGCACTATCGAGTATTTTGGTCTAGACACCTTGAGAAACTGAAAAGAAAACGGGACGCCCTTCGCAACACTGCTGATCAGACTGGAAGAACGGAAGACGTACAAGCCTGGAGACGGTAGTCAGCTGTCCTAAGGCAAACCATCTTACAAGTCAAACGGACTTCCTTCGACAAGTTTATCTCAAATATCAACTATCAAAATGATAGCCAACGCACTTTCAATTTTCTGAGAAACCTGCAAAACAACAGAGAAAGACCCAAGAAGGAACCAATCACTTTCAAATTCCTGGGTAACCTCCAAAACAACGGGGAAAGACCCAAGAAAGAACCAATACGCTTTAAAACACACAAAAAAGAACCAATACGCTTAAACAGCAAATTGCTTACCTAACGAAATAGCTAACTGCTTTGCGAGGTTCTATTCCCATAACAAATACGTTTAAAAAACAAACTGCTTACCACCGACTCCGAATTTAAACAGCAAATTGCTTACCACCGACACCGAAATAGCTAACTGTCAGAAAATCTTCAAGAGATTTAAAGATACAAGTAAGACAGGTTGGGGAAATTAAGGAAGACGCAACACCAAATGATGTGGGGAAATTAAGGAAGACATAATAACACCAAATAATGTACTTATTGAACCATTCAGAACTTGAGAACTTAATGCTGCGATAAAACGGCTAAAGTGCAAGAAGTCTTCTGGCCAAGACGGTATTCATCCGGAATTTCTAATGAGAATGGGACCAACAGCCAAGGAAACCATGCTGACGCTTTTCAACAAAATCTAGGAGACCAGTCTCGTACCTAACCAACGGAAAGTTGCCATAGTAATACCAGTACTAAAAAAAGGCCAAAGACCCTAGCAACTTTGACAACTATAGGCCTATCTCTCTCACAAGCGTGCTGGCTAAACTTAATGAAAGAATAGTTAACAGGAGGCTGACCTGGTTCCTTGAGACCAACAGTGTTTTTTAGGAGTGAACAAGCAGGTTTTTGGCCACAAAGATCAACGAACCAACAAGTAGCCACTTTCTCCCAACACATCAAAGATGCCCTTAATGCAAGAAATACCCTTACGGCGGTTTTCGTCGATTTCAAATCAGCATATGACTTAGTAAGGAAAGAGAAGCTAATTCTAAAATTGGCAAAGATTGGTATTAAGCATAATATGCTAAACTGGATATATGCATTCATTGGACAAAGATCATGTAATGTCAGATACGGAAATGCTCTATCAAAATCCTTAAAGTCAGATACGGAAATGCTCTATCAAAATCCAATCCTTTACAAACAGGCCTTCTTACAAACAGGCCTTCCACAGGGAGCTGTCACAAGCTGCATACAGGCCTTCCACAGGGAGCTGTCACAAGCTGCACTCTTTTAATGTCTTCATCAATGCAGTCACGGGCATCAAGTGCTTACTTTGTGCAGACGATCATGTTCTATGGTATTCCGCCCCTAAGAAAAACGCTCAGGAGAGCTATGGTATTCCGCCCCTAAGAAAAACGCTCAGGAGAGGACCGAAAGTACCCTTAATGTTGCACTTAAACTACTAGCAAACTGGTAATCAACACCGCGAAAACTGCATTCCAAACTTTTTCTTTAGACCATCACAGCATAAACCCGCATTTAAGGCACAAGGATACTACCATAGAAAAAACCAATGAGTTCACATTTCTCGGAATGACGTTTGACACTAAGCTAACGTGGAAAAGTTACATCAATAAAATTGAAGAACGAGTCTCCAATAGACTGAATGTACTGAAGCGTCTTGCTGGTAACGTATGGGGCTGTGCACGCTCAACTCTCAACAACACTTACAAGATGTTTATTCAGCCAATAATATTGTATTTCTGTGAGCCACTCATTACAGCCACAGAGGTGACTCTCAAACCACTCGAAAAGGCACACAACCAAGCATTACGACTAATTACTGGAGGGATAAAATCAACACTCATTGATGCAATGTTCCTAGTTACAGGAAACACCACAATATGTTCCCTTATGAAAGAAAAGGCCTTGTTCCTGTATGAGAAGCTACTGCGCATTCCCGTGGACAAATTCTTCAGCACCTATGAGAATAGACCAAGGCATCTGAAAACGCAATCTGGTCTAATACAAAAAGCCAGAGAATTGGAGAAAGAATTACAAATCGATGACAAACCAAAAAGCCTCTCTCTCCCCATGAACCCATTGGCAGACACTGATGTTGTGTTTTGCACCCAACTGCTCGACTTCTTCAGGAATTCAAACACTCCTCCAGAGCAAATGCGCTCACTGGCCCTTGAGACAATCAATGTCAACTACCCTGTAGATCAATGGCTCCAAGTCTTTATAGAAAGCCAAACAAACATTGGTGCAGGTGTCTTTTCAGAACTCTTCTCTTTCTACGCAGCATCAGGACTCACTAGCTCCGCTTTTGAAGGAGAAATAGAGGCCATTAGGAAAGCACTATGCCAATTATGTTGCCTGGATACGAAATTCACCAAAGCGGTGATACTTTCTGACCCACAGTCACCAATAAACTCAATTGGACTTTCGAACTCACAGTCAGCAATAAACTCAATTGGAAGTAGATTTCGAACTTACAGTCAGCAATAGACTCTATTGGAAGCAGAGATACTCACAGGCAACAATAAACTCAATTGGAAACAGAGAGCGTGATACTTTCGGACTCACAGTCAGCAATAAACTAATGTGGAAACAGAGATAAACAGCTGAGATATACGAATGTAAAAAACTCTATCAGCTACTGAGAGAGAATGAGATAAAGGAATGTAGAAAACTCTATGAGCTGCTGAGACGAAAAACAAAACAGTGGAAAACGCTATGAGCTGCTGGGAGAGAAAAACAAAACAGTGGTTCTATCTATGAACAGCTGAGATAAACGAATGTAGAAACCTCTATCAGCTGTTGATGAGATAAAGGAATGTAGAAAACTCTATCAGCTGCAGAAAACAGCTGAGATAAGGAATGTAGAAAACTCTATGAGCTGCTGAGACGAAAAACAAAACAGTGGTCCTACAATGGATTCCTGGTCACTGTGGCATTAAAGGCAATGAGATTGCTGACACACTTGCTAAGAAGGGGACAACGGTTTTGCAATGCATATACTGGCCGATGTCTTTCCACGCAATGAAGTCCTTAATCAGGAGAGAATTTCAGACCTCAAGGTGCAATGTACTTAAAGCACGAACAAAGGAGAAACAGTGGTCAGTGACACTCTCCGACATAGCTGACTGGTCAAGAATCGAAGATGTTGCTGAGTTTAGACTACGTACCGGACACGATTGCTTGACAAAACACCTACACAGATTGGGAGTGTACACTCAACTCACATGCCCCCTATGTAACCTACAGGAGGAAATGGAGAAGACCAACCTGATTCGGTGTCCAGCCCTAAAGACAAGGATGGAAAGCCAGAGATACTGGGAAGCAAGAAGACTGCTAATGAACTGCTATTAATTAACTGCTATAAATGTACCCCCCACCCTTGGGGGAAGCTGAAGTCAAAGTTTAAGGGCTAATGATAAATATCACAAAGCCTGCCATTAAAATAATAATAATAATTTCGATTTTCTTCAAGAACCGATTAATCTCAAACTATCCCCAATCAAGTGATCTGAATTATAGAGATTTGCCATTCCTGAATCGACCGTGTTCTGCAATCCTCTCAATTGTCTTTTAATTTGTCAATGTCATTTTACCCCTTCATGCATTTTACATTTTAGATTTGGTCAATTAACAGTGACTAGTATTATTTAAAAATTATTGTTGCACAACTTTGTTAATTCAGTCGAAGACCCATATTGTCTACCTCTTTAAAATCATCTGATGTGTATCCACAGAGGACTTTGGATATTCAATCAAATGCTGCATACCTGCCCATTAGCTTTCAAAAGTAGACGCTTCAGTTAGATTATAACATCCACGCATTTCCTCTGAACTACAAGAAATGCAAGCATTCAAATTTACATCACAACTTGATTATCTTTTTATGTCAATCTCTCTCTACTTGGCGGTTCGCCTTCCTTTCTCATCAACACCCGTTTCTCCTAACTTGATCCATGCCGAAACTTGAAAGGTGTTAGAAGAATTGATACTCAGTTAGACACTATCTACCTGTATATAATGGGACATGAAACTACTACTCGCATTCGACAGCTATTCGGTCTTTGGCACATGGACTGCAATGAGCATTAGTCATCATTGGAATAATATTCCACTTGGAAGGGGCCTTTGAGACCAAGTTTGTGAAAGATCGGTCATCTGCAATAATATTTTTACAGTTGATGACACTTTAAATTCTCTTAGTTCAGCAATTCAACAACCGAGAAATCAGTAAAAGTTCGGCCAACTGACGCCTTTTCTAATTCACCCTTTGCATTCCTACTCACGTCATTACGGGAGACCAATTCTGTGTGTACAAGATCACCAAAATGCAAGTGTACGCGAATTATTCTATAAAGCCAAAAGTTGTTAGTAGATGGTGATTTGAACATTGCTCACATAAAGTCCAATCAAATTTTTCGTGGATCTGTTGAGGAGTAATCAGCGTTATTTCACAGAAGTGGTTGAGTAGTGTATCATTTTAAACTAGTGTCTATTTTAGGAAGGATGAAAGAAGATTCAAACTTCAGATTCGATAGTAAGTATTTGACGACTTTGAGTGATTTTCCTTCTGCAGATGGCCATGTTGGTGACACAATTGAAGAGCCGGATGATGGGTTGGTTCATATCAGAATCCACTCGCTGGCGATTCACAAACTGGTAACAACTGTGTCTGGACTTCCTGAGAAATATCACCTTGGAAGCATTCTCAAGTGCTGCATGAGGACATTCGGTTGCAAAGGTGGGATTAAGCAGAATAACGAATTCAGTGAAGTGATGCTATTACAGGGTGACACTCGAAGTCAAGTATACGAATTCCTTACTAAGAACAGTCTAGTCCCTCCAGAGTGTATTCGAGTGCATGGAAGCTGAAGTCTCTCGCGTTTGCCTCAGTGTAGTTACTATTTTGTTGCTAGTCATTACCTTTGCCATTAAATCTAATTTATTCTACTGATTCACAACTTTCAGATGATCGACATTTTCCTAGAAATATTTCCATCTATTCTCAAAGTTCACTTAGCCTACATATACGACCCACGTTCGAGTCATGGATCGTAGAGTGTTGTTGAGATACAAGTTAGCAAGTTAGCTATGTGGGAGAAATGACAGGTGACTAAATGTGTTCTTTGTGAAACAACAAGATTGAGACTGCCATTTTGGCCTAGGAATATTGGTGATTATTCAAAAAGAAACTGATCTATGATACAGTTGGGCTTAGTCTATAGCTTGGAGAAGGAGGGAAAGATCTTCGTCCAGAGCGCTTTTTTCAAATTTTGAGAGGAATCACCTGTAATTAAATGAACAAAGTCGTGTGGAGTGCACTATTTAACCAAGTGTAATCAATGGAAATTTATTCACATAGAACATCCCAGAAAGTGTGTCGTGCGTGCACCAACCAGTCTGCCAATCCGATATCCTTTGAAGCCAGCTAGAATAACAATGGTTGTAGTTAATGACTAAAGATGTAGGTGGATTGCTCGAAACCGTTGAGAGAATACTGTTGAAGTTCAGTTAAAGATCATTTGTATTAATTTTAAACAACCCTCTCTCCTTCATCATTTTCAGCAGTTTCGGATTTTGCGGTTGTACGTCTTCTCTTTAAATGTCACCACTAAAACTAATGCGTCAATATAACACCAATTAGCCTGTTTTAGAGCAACACGATAAATGAAATTTTCCACAAGACGCACCAAGTCAAGTTAAACCAGAAGGTGCAGAAGGTTCATGTTTGGTCACAGTGAAAGAAGAGAAGCCAACAGTTTAGCCAACGAAATGTGGAAAATGTAGTTTGAATTTGATTTTGCACTTTTCATGGGATCAAACGACTGCCATCCTTATTTCAGTAACTGAAACACGATTCCCTGAATTTGGTATTCTGTTCTAACTCATTCCTTTTTGGGAATACAACAGAGGCTTATCAGAATGTAATCACAATTTGAATGTCCATGGAAGAGAAGTTGAAGATGGAAGTCTATTGAAATGTGAGCTCTTGAACTTTTATTGTGATTTGTTAAGATGATTGTTTTTAGGACAACAAAGAGAAAAGTGAGTAAGCGTGGTGATGGAAGGTGTGGCGGAGGGAGGGGGGGGGGCGATGGGGAGGTGCATATACATTTATACAGAGTTGATTGATAAGAAGAGAGATAGTTGGTGGATTGTTGATGTGTTTTTACCTTCACACTCCATAATTCAAATCATATTATTGAGTACTCTGATGCATTCTAAAAGAAGTATAATTCGAAGTTGCCCAATGTTGCAGTCTGCTGGAGTGCTACCAATGCACAGAAGGATTTCCTTTCAAGATCCTTTCTAAAGTGCTCGCGTATCAGACATTATTCCTATGTTTGGTACGATCTGAGTAATTGGGTAGACAAAGTTTGATCTTTATGTTTCAATCCCAACCCCATCGTTTATGGGTTTGCACTTGGATTGCCGATATTCCACAATGAAGCTCTTCTTTTACACTGGAACGCTTGCCCAAACCTCTTTGCTTTGCCATGGTGACATATCAACTATTGACTTGCAGTCGGTCTTGCCTATCCATATTTCAAGGTGCCTCTTTCGATTTATTAATGTTGACTTATATTAACTTAAAATAGGAATCACTTTTTCGTAGGCTGGAGATTCCTAAACAGAATATATGCCTAGTTCATGTGAAGCGACTTGTATGTGATGCATATTAATGAAGACTTACTTTTACTGTGCAGCAGTATAAAGCAGACGATAAGTTTACTTAAACACCAGATCCACTCAAATTTATCAAGGATTATTACACGCACACTAAATCAGAAAAGTGAAACTAGCCTCCCATTCAATTTAGGCAACTCCCCTTCCCCCCCCCCCTTCCCACTAGGATGGAGGCAGAACTTGACTTCTTTCTCTGACATATCTTGAAGGGAGCCAACCTGGATTATGCTAGACTGCATTTTGTGATGCAAGTACAACAATTCACTTAAATTTTCCCGTAGACGCAAAGAACAAGTGATCTGATCATGCAGACTGAGTACAAGTGACCTAGCATAAGGCATCACACGATCTATCAGGTTGCCATTAGAGAGAATTCAAATTAATTTATGCTTATTTGACCTCTATGGCGCTTTGCACAAAATTTCAAAGCCTTATGAAATATAATTTATCTTATCACTATCTTGCTAATTCTTTCTTAAACTCGAGATTATCACCTTGAGTCATCATGTTACATCAAAATATCTGAAAGTTGGATGCCAATTAATTGAGTTCTAAGAAGTAACCTCTCGAGTTACTAGTGTAATTTGTCAATTATCTTAGAGAAAGATATTCTGTATGTCACATCCTTCAATTATAATTAATTCCAATTAATATGACACTGTATAGTCACCAATATCAAGTTTATAATATGCCTCACCCCATAGGTTTAGTGTGTTTAATGCAGGAGACGACATAATCTAAGTTTCTCACCAGGACATTCAATGGTGCCATCCCACATATCCAAGACAATTATTCTTACTATTACGCAGAAGTCATTTGGAAGAATTCCAACACCACAACATTGAATGGTTGAAAGCGAATTGGTACGTGGGCGTTGAGTAGTGAATTTTTGTCTTCTTTCAATTATGCAAGTATAATAACAGCCAATTTATTTGTTTTTTGAATTACAGCTAAACGTTCAAGGTTGACGACGACATTCAGCCAAACGTCCAATATTCGTTTATAGTTAAAAAGGAACTTAACTATAAGTGGGCAACACTACAACCCCTCCTTATGCTACTGAGCTGCATTTTCATCGTTGAGCCAACAGATTTGGCAATGTCAAATTCATTGTAGAAATTCATGACATCAAGATTCGTCTTAGTGATGCATGGTATTTCACATGGAGGACCTAGTTCGTGAAGGCAACTTAAAAGGAGCTAAATCTTCTCTTCGTGGTTGCCTGAAACATCTCCACTTCTTCAGAAAATCCTTGTTCAATTACCTTAATGGATTATTCTTCATATAATCTGCACATAGAATGGCACAAGAAAGTAGAGAATGTGGCTTTAGTTGAAGAAATTGCTGCAATAGTTTAAGGTCTCATGACAGAAACGATCCAAAGGGTCACCCAGATGGGATATATGTAGGCGCGTTACATTGTAAACAGCATTAGAGTCACTCAAGCCCACTATTTCACTGTACTACGATGAGTTAGATGAAGTTTACTTGAAGTATTTCTATCTCTAATGTCACCACTTTTCTTATTTTTTTAGAATGTACACTCTGGGGCTCCTATTGCTAGGAATTGTATCAGTGTCGGTGAAGTGGATGGTTCGTTCAGAGAATGGAGGTCTCTTGAATGTCATATTTCAAATCAAGAGCCAAAATCCAACTCACTTTCAACTTGCCCCAACATCGGACTTCGATTTTTACATAAATTTGATTCTTTTCAAACCACAATCTCTTCCACTACTTGATGCTATTCCAGAGGAAATGGGGGGAGGGCAAAAGGGTGTGAAGCATTCCCACGACAATCCCAATCTCGAAGCTATTACTCTGTGGTTGACGATCGGCTCCTTTTCGCTCCTTTGCATTTCACTTCTCTTGGTGCTGATGAGGCCTTGCTGTCGTAGTCACCAGGTTAGTGAGGAGGAAGCAATTTATCGGTTGACTTTTATTAAAGTTGAACCTTAATTAGTAAAGTAAGAATTAATGACATGTGGATTTAATAGGGGGAAGAGGAGGTGGACTCTGTGAAGTTGCCAAGACAAAGAAATCAGTCCTCGAGAAAAATACTAATTGGAGCATCAATTTGCATGATTCCTGGCCTACTATGTCTCCTGTTCTTTTACTTCTCAAGTATGAATCTGCTGATTGAGGCTCTGGGTACTAGCGCACGAGATCAGACTAATGGATCAGATTCCGTGTCTGTTGCCCTGTTTGATGTGCCCAAAAGTACACACAGACATGCTGACTCCTTTTTACAAGAGAGCGTTAAATCCGGAGACGATTTCATTCACAACGACATATCGAAATTATTAAAATCAATAAAAGTAAGTCAGACTATTGTCAATCTCTTGAATCCTATCATGTGTGGCTGAGTGAACTAATTAATTGATTGGCTAATTTATATACAAAATTAAATGCACACGAGAGTGTTTTTTTATGAATTCGCATTCTGATACAACACCAAAATGTTAGTTGTTGTAGAGAAATGTTCTCGAAGTAGTACTTGTTCAGGTTTTGATTCTCCATGAAGTATAGAACACTGCAACTCTAAACTTAACAATTATCCTCTTCATTGCTTACGATTTTCTGTACATAGAAAGCGAAAACGATGGCATTTGGTCTGGGAGGTTGATAGGGTGCAATAGGGATATTCAAAGGCGTTTGTTCGAAACCACAATTTGTTAATTTCTACAAAAACATTCAAATCATGTCCGGCACGCACATGAACAAAATTACTCTGTCAATCAGTTCTCTTAAGAGTCACCTTCGTGATACCCAAGTGTACAGTTGAAGAGTTTGTTTCGATAGTTGAAATAGAAACGTCGAATCACAATGAGAGTACTAGCAATGATGAGGTGTTCATGATGTGCTGTGATCAACTTCCAGAAGTCTAGCCTTAAATGTCTCTGGATCAATGCTCGTTAATGCCTGATCGAAGATGGGGTTAGCCAATTGCCCTGGTTAGTTCTGGTTAACACAACAGTTGCGGACATTCTAGTTTCCCTCAAGTGAGTCATCGTGACTCAAGCCCAGACTCAAGTCATTTGTTTCAAATACTTAGTATTTTAGGGCTTGTCAAAATCAATAATGTGTTATTTCTTTTGTTTCCTTTGTCCTTTGCCTAATGATCAGAATAGTAAAAGGTCAGCATCTGTTTATGTGTGAGTTTTGTCCCTCTCTCCTTGTTGCGAATATATTTCAAGGACATGATCACTAGATGGGTGCTAAGGAATTTTACTCATTGACCTTGGCACAGATGGTAGGCTCCATTTAGGTGAATTTGGGTAAAGTAACGTCTCGAGTGTAATCGTGATGTGCACTTCGACAAAGGAATGAAATATGCACGTCTGATAGGATTATTATTAGAAGTTAAATGTCTCATGAGATCTGTTTCGGTGTCATCAATTAAAGACATCTCTGGTTGAGAGACGCCAGCACGCAGAGTTGGTGTGCAAGGTAGCATTTAGGGTTTCTATTTCTCAACCTGACGACACACAGGAAACGTGGTGCTTGCTGTAGGCTCTTTTTCATTTTCGTATCCAACCATTTTCGAGTAATCTTAACAAATTTTGATTGGTTAGAGTCATTTTCAGAGCGTTCACAATGACATGCCATGACATTTCTTGCTTTTGTTACAAGATAAATGGCACTACACTTTCCCATTATCTTGACAATTTTGCTCTAGGTCCTGCCAAAGTAGTTCTAGTAATCGCGATAAGGCAATGTGAAGTAGCAGTCATGTCGACATTATTCTCGAAACTACTATAAATAACAAAAGAAAACTCTCTTTATTTATTTACATTTCAGCAAAAATCCAAAGACCTAGCAGTTCAAGAAACAATTAACGCCTTCAATTTACCTTTAATTCGTCATCTGATTCAAACAACAGTTAATTCATCCAGGAATCGCATTGATAGCTCGGATTGGCGTAAGTTGAAAGAACTTTATCGTGATATGATAGCATCTCTCTTAGCATTCCGAAGTTCTATCAGAACCGTTTTGGAAAATTTACAAAGCTGTAACAATAACACCTGCAACTCCACTCAAGTAAGCCCAATTAATTTAATGTGTGTGAATATTTGTCCATAACAAGCAACCAAGAACCTTTCAGTTGTTTGTTCTTGGAATAGGAGGAGTGATTGTGGCGAAATGTGACAGGGTAAAGGAATAAAAGTTTGGGTAGGAAATCGGAATTTTTCGGATTTCCGTCTTATTAGTCAAAATTTATACATCATCGTAAACTTAAAATCATAGAATGTCATATGAGAATTGAATTTTATCAACAAATCTTTTTTTATTGTAGGCCAATTTGAAGAGTCTATATAAGAAAGACGAAATATATTCTAATAGTTTAGGAGATTTCCTACAGAAAATGCAAAATTTGACAGATGTTCAACGAAAAACTGTTGATTACTTAAGAAAACCTAATAGATAATAGATAAACTCGAAGAATTTGTATATCACGTTGTGAACTCAACACTTGATCAGACTGCAGAAAATAAGATTATAAGTGATTTAGATAGGAAATGGAAGAATTTGAGTACCTATGCAAATACAACTCTGCAGTACGCAAATACTCACGTGGTCAATTCGATTAAATCTGACTTCAAAAAATTTGTTCCACCGGCCAAAACCACCTTGTTCTCCATTGGAGTACTTTTAGTGCTTACACTATTGGTGTTCATTGGTTTGGTCGTGAATTCAATTACACAGGCCTCACGAATTCACAATCAGTCAGATAATGGACTCTATTCAGAGACTGGAAAACATGGTTATTGTGTGGTCTACTGCCTTTCTGTGCTATTTCTCCTGATGAGTGTAGCAGTATCCATTGTGGTTGGCATGAGTCTTTTCGGATTGAGTGTGCTTTTAGGTGAGTCTATTTTGCTTGGAAATCCACCCCATCCTCCTATGTGTGGTATTAGTCAACCGCACTCTCGTTGACAGGTGAAGGTTGTACATACGTCATGAAAGAAACAGCCTATAGCAAAACAGACCATATATTGAACGGACTTGGAGAGGACTACTGGGAGACACTATTGATGAAGTACTCGGACAAGTGGCTGAATAAGTCAATTTTCCCGCCTCCCAAGAACATAATCAGAGCTCTCTCGAAAGTTTGCAAAACTGAAAACGGAGACATTGATAAAAGTCTGCTATTTGCCCTGGGATATCGGAATACTTCCATCGACTTTAAAACTCTACTGGCCAATCCGAAGGTGGACGAAATGGTCAAAGGTCTTTGGAAGTAAGATAGCACTTAGAATCCTATATTACATGCCTGTTGTCTATGCACTTAATATACTGAAATTACACCTCTCAGTTTTAAAGAAGCGAGCAGACAGATAATCACAACAGGCAATGTCTCGAACCTCGACAAGTTCATTACTTCACTTGAATCACTAGACACAATAGACGAACTTTACAATAAGCTTAACATGACTGTAAGTTTTCACAGAAAATTCCTAATATTTCTATTATTTGTTAATCTCCTCACAGTCCTTTCTTAAATTTAGTCGTACAATAGTTCTTTTTCAATTGCGCCTTCCGAGTCTGAACAACTTTTAAACCATTTCCATGGAGAAGAGTTAAACAATCTTAACTCTACAATTCAGTATATAAAAGCTAGTGCTGTAAACATGGATCAAAGAATTTTGCAAATTAAAGAGAAATCGAATGAACCCTGGCAAGGCGTTGAGAATGTATTGCAAGCAGTTAGTGAATTTCGTTCAGTGAGTACATTCAACAACTATTGAATTTTTCGTTTGAATCGATTCTTCATTTCATTTGTTAATTTCTAGTTGATATCAGATACGAAGAAATTGGAGAGGAAGTTTGAAGGAATATCTGACAAAACTGTGTTGAAAATAAAATCCTGGTTGGCTGTTCAAGCCCCAGCATACCTAGACGAACTTACAAAGAGGCTGATTCCTTGTGGAGAAGCACATAAAGCATTCTACGTTGTCACTGAAGCAACATGTGGTGAAACCGGTCTTCTACATCGATTCACGGCTTACGTTTGCATTCTCGGTATAAATGTCTTCTGCCAAGCCCTCTTTGCCCTAATATTCCTCCTTCTTAACTCTCCCAAAACCACGAGGGGATGAACTTCCTCCCATTCATTCTCGATGATCATCATCCTGACTTGTTCAATGAAATTAGACTAATAGAGATCGTAGTAATGTGGACCCATTCTTTGTGTTGGTATGTTTGCTGTGGTCGTGGTGTCTATGGGTATCGACGGGAGCGGTACCGTCCTACGATCGTTTGAACCGATTGGTGTTGACAGGAGGAAAAAGGAAGGTGGAGAAAAGGAAGTGGGGTTTTTATTGCGAAGGGAATGGGTGAGGATTAGCTACTTGGTTTGCCTATAATTCAACATCTTCAAACCACTTTGTGAGAAGGGGAACTCAGACTTCACCCAGACAAAGTAAGATAAGGTCAAATTCCGAACACGCTGAACCTTGTCTCCAAATTATTTCATTTCGTCAATATTTATGCCTTCGGGGTGCGTGATAGACTTACCTCCACGTGGTGCACCCTGGGCAACGTATACTCATACGGCAAAAAAGTCTATTAACTGGCGATTGACTTCTGGCGCAGTACTTATCCTACCTTTTCTCTGCCTTCATGTCTGTCTCTTTACATCTTTAAATTACTCTTCTGTTTCCCACCCCTCGATTTTCTGTTACTTTGATGTTCCTCCCCCCTGTGAAGTCCGAAGTCAGCTAAAGGGCTAATGATAAATATCAAAACGCCTGCCATTTGAAATAAATAAATAAATATTTATGCCTTCCCATGTCCGAAAAGTATGAAGTATCTGTCATTAAGTTAGAAGAGGTCTATCAACTTGACAATGGTTGTGTCCTCTCTCAGTTCCAGGACGCAGATTATGTCCAAGAAACTCCGCCTTCCTATTGTTAATTGTCAGCCAAAAGCTATGTAATTTTGCGTTTAATACCTCACCCGAATGGGAGCATTCAGGGACTTGCCATTCACCCCACTTCTGCATTCAACAGGATCGACAATTTAGCAGCGTTGGATGGAGATTATTGTCAGTGGTTTAAGAGTCTGGTCGCGTTGCTGTCGATTGAGTAATTTCTCCCTACAGGCTCCCTTGCGTTTTCCTACCTCACTTATGACAGAACTGAGTAGGTGCTTCATCAATGTCATTCACCACATCACACTTAATTCGGTATTCTCACATTTTGTGGAAATTTTGATTCTACCTCTTCAAATTATGGTGGGGATCTATTTATCTCCAATTGGAATAGGCCTTAACATTTAGTCATATCAATTTCTGTTGCTGGATCTCCTTCTTGTTGAACTCATTTGGCGTAGTTTATTTTCTAAAGTTTCAAGAAATTTTGAGCACGATGAACTAGGTGACAAATGAAATCACCCGTTAAGTTGACACTAGGTCTTACGTCTCTCAAAACAACAATGACAAGTTTTGTAATGAAGCTATCTCTTGGTATTGAGATGAATAATCAGCTGATTCATAATAACTTCTTATACTGTAGTTGTTGAGGTTAATCCAGAGATGCATCATGGAGTTCACACTTTTTAAGAATGCTGTGATTATAAGTTGATCTGAATAAGAGATACGGCGATGCTTTAATCATGACAATCGAAAATAAAAAGCCTGAGGGCACATCATAGCTTTCGTGCGAATTTATGTTAACAACAGGGAGAATAGTTGTCACTTTGGTGAGGTTCTGTGTAATGACCTATCTGTGGTGAGCATGGGTAACATTGACTTGGTTGGTAAAAGATTAAACTCACAACAGGCAGCCAAAAAGGACCAAGTAGTAATATCAACAACCAATGAGAATACAATTGGGTTTCTGAATGACCCCTCACGAATTTATCAGCAAAATGGTAACGACACTTGAGCAGAAAGTGGAAAGGTATTGCAAAGCGACTTTGATGAAGAAATGGTAATCTGTCAGAATTAACATCTTCTTTTACTGTGCACAAGTGGAAATTGCTTTATTGGTCTCTGATTAAGAAGGCGTGAATGCCGAATCGTGTGGCTTGGCTTGACTTCTTAAGCCATACTCCATAATACTTGATTCAATCAGCTTTCATTTCATCAACTGTGACCAAGGGTGTAAAGCTTTTAAAATTCAAGGAGCATCCAAGGATCAACAATAATGCAATGAAACTGTTATTCGAAGAGGGTAACTAGAAGTATCTGACTACAATTAATATTTTGATACCTATAGAACAGTTTTTAAAATGCTAAATTCTTTTTATACCATGACGATTGTAGGTTTAAAGTTGATTTCCCACCTTATTGCATGCATTCCAACTTCAGTAGGTAAGCGACTCTCTGTTTGTATGGCTCTTAGCTGTGAAAGGGAGAAAGATGCATCACCAATATGACCAGGACTCCTTCAACAACAACGGTTACTTGATTTTGAAAACCTCTCCGTTTAAACCGGTTATATTTAGAAAGTTCGAGTTGTGGACGGTACAAGTCTGCTTTAGTGATGACATGATTAAGGCTGGTCTACTCGGTATTAATAGAGTCAAAAAGATTCAAGTTCAAAATTCTCCTGTTGTCAATTTTTATGAAAATGGGTTTGCATTTGCTTGTCTGTTCATACTTCAGCTTGTGACAAATCACTTAACGTCAATATAATAGCCAACTAATGTGGACATCCAAATGACAAACTTTAGATAACTAAGAAGAACAGCATCTTCCATTCTTAAAAGAGAGATTCCACTTGGTATCAACAACCAATAACTAAACCGTTTTACTTGGTCACGTTGAATCTGGTTCAAGTGGCTCAAGCATTAATGACGACAAAGCCAACTCACATTTATTGGAGAATCTTCAGCTTAGTGCAAGCCAATGTGTGATAGGGAAAAATAAGCAGGCCCGTATTCCTTCGACCCGTACTTGAGAAAATCTCCCTGTTGAAAGCAGAGTATCACCTTTACATACTAATGCATCTTGTCATTACTCATTTGTAGTACTTCCAAAGGCAAGCAAATTGTGGGCTGTTGACTGATAGGTTTTAAATTAAATTTGGCATCAAAGCAACTCAGAAGATCAGCAATGAATAGTCACGCCAAATTCGGAGTAGCCAGAGATGTATTGATTGGCTAAACTCCAAGCCAGTGACACACGACTCAAATCGACATGTTCCACGCCATAGGTCCGTTCAACCTTTATCCTTGAGGCAACTTATCTCTCTTCGGAAGACTTTCTATACGGGGGAATCTTGCAAGAGAGATTAGTGAGGTTGAGGAAAGGATTATGTGAGCGTGGTAATCCTACACAGGTTGGAATAAAGTGGGATTGCGTAACCAATCAGATAATTAATTAAGCTAGCCCTGAATGCAGAATTCAATTGATGAGAGGTGTTAACGTTCTGTCTGTTAAATTCCATCACATCAAATGGAATTTGTAACTACTGCCTCCTCAGTTGCTTTCCCACCAATTGGAGTTAAAGCTGTGGAATGAGAAATACTGGAAACGAAACATGATCCAATTCTCTGTATTTCGAACCACTTAGGAACTGATAGTAATCAGTTCAAATCTCAGTTGTTTACCGAAAGTGCAAGAATTGAATTTGTAGAATTGACTTGCATTCTACTGATAACTTAACAGTAGTAAATTTATTTTTCAGACATTAATAGTACACAACTATGCGAGCTGGAGTATGACATGAGAGAAGATTGGATTCATAATTTATAATTGATGATCTATTTTAATAAGAACGTTTAGAACTCGAGGATTTGGGTCTATTGTGGATGGCCACAAGTAAGGAGTGTTTTCGATATAATGGTGAGGAGAGAGATGTCCATAAAGTAGTCGTTCCATAGAACAAGTCATGTGGAAAAATTTAACAGTTGAATAAAGTTTATTCATAGCAGTTGAACTGCTTAGACTCATACCAGTGAAGACATCATAGACCCACAGTCAAGCAACCACCTTTACTTCGATTCTCTGGGGTGCGCGATAGACATACCTCCACGTGGTGCACCCTGGGCAACGTATCTTCGCACGGCAAAAAAGTCTATCACTCGGCATTCAATTTGACTTCGATTTATTATGATTAGCTTGAAACAAGGCTATAAGAGAAATCGCCCTCGTCAGGGCGAATCATAACGTCTTCAGATCCTCCAGTGGAATGGTGGAGGGATGTCACAGGACAAAAAGGTCCAAGTTCAGAAAATCCTAAAAATCTTTCATGTAGACATATTCACAATTATGGAAGCAAACATTTCGGATGAAAAACTGAAGTACTACCGATTCCCAGGTTACACCCTGTACCTTCTATCTAAATACCGGCAAGTTGCAAGTGGAATTCTAACTAGAGTAAAAGAAGGTCTTACATTACATTACGATCTAAACAAGAGTATGGGCTCGACACAGAATATATGTGAAATAATCAGATTAAGTGTTTGGTAATGTCAAAACCACTTCAAGATATATGCAGTCTATAATCCATTGTCAAAACCACTTCAAGGTATATGCAGTCTATAATCCAAAACACAAGACATATGTGAAATAATCAGATTAAATGTTTGGAAATATCAAAACCCTTCAAGATATATGCAGTCTATAATCCTCCCCAGAATTGTCGAAATGCAGTCTATAATCCACCCCAGAATTGTCCAAAATTTGACATAAATATTTAGAAATGTCAAAACCACTTCAAGATATATGCAATATAATCCACCCCAGAATTGTCCCAACTTTGATTTTCTGAGCATCTCACACAAAACGGTAGTATTAGGAGACTTCAACGCTCGTTTCACCAGATGGGGCTACAAGGATACAAATATAGCTGGAAAGGAAATTGAAGACATGCTAAACAGCAACCCTCTGGAACTTATTTACAGCAATGAGGATTCGGCTACATATTTGCACTACAATGGAACCAGAACAACTCCTGACTTAATCCTGGCTTCAAGCTATATCAGCGAACATACACGCCGAGAAATAATTGACGATCCTGGTTCTGGTCACAAAGCAGTCATTGCTAGTATTACCATCGGCAGCAAAAGCATGACAATAAAAAACCCAACCAAGCTATCGTGGAACTTCAAGAAGGCTGACTGGTCTAGATTCAATAACCTTTTAGACAATGAACTTCACACTAGCCCCTCAACTTCAACCAACATCCTGACAAACTTTGCATTGATACCACGAATATTATGATCAGATGTGCAAAGAAAACTATTTCCCGAGACAAGACTAAACATTATCGAGTGTTTTGGTCTAAACACCTTGAGGAACTGAAAAGAAAACGGGACGCCCTTCGCAACACTGCTGATCAGACTGGATGAACGGAAGACGTACAAGCCTGAAGACGACAATCAGCTGTCCTAAGGCAAACCATCTTACAAGCTAAACGGACTTTCTACGACAAGTTTATCTCAAATATCAACTTACAAAGTGATAGACAACGCACTTTCAAATTCCTGGGTAACCTCTAAAACAACAAGGAAAGACCCAAGAAAGAACCAATACCATTAAACAACAAACTGCTTACCACCGACTCCGAAATAGCTAACTGCTTTGCGAGGTTCTATTCCCACAAGCAAAAGAAAAACCCTTTTGTCAGAAAATCTTCAAGAGATTTAAAGATACAAGTAAGACAGTTGGGTGAAATTAAGGAAGACATAGCAATACTAAATAACGTACTTACTGAAGAATTCAGAACTTGAGANATCAGCCAATGACTTAGTATGGAAAGAGAAGCTAATTCTAAAATTGGCAAAGATTGGTATTAAGCATAACATGCTAAACTGGATAAAAGCATTCATTGGACAAAGATCGCGTAATGTCAGATATGGAAATGCTCTATCAAAATCCAATCTTTTACACACAGGCCTACCACAGGGAGCTGTCACAAGCTGCACTCTTTTCAATGTCTTCATCAATGACATAGCTGAATTAGTACAGACAGTCACGGGCATCAAGTGCTTACTTTATGCAGATGATCATGCTCTATGGTATTCCGCCCCTAAGACAAACGCTCAGGTGAGGACAGAAAGTGATCTTAATTGTGCACTTAAACTACTAGCAAACTTAAACTACTAGCAAACTGGTGCGACAACAATGGAATGATAATCAACACCGCGAAAACTGCATTCCAAACTTTTTCTTTTGGCCAGTCACAGCATAAACCCATTTCTAAGGTACAAGGACACTACCCTAGAAAAAACCAATGAGATCATTTAACTCGGAATGACGTTTGACACAAAGCTAACGTGGAAAAGTCTCGTAGTTAAAATAGCAGAATCAATCTCCAAGAGACTGAATATATTGAAGCGTCTTGGTGGTAGCGTATGGGGCTGTGCACGCTCAACTCTCCACACCACTTACAAGATGTTTATTCAGTCAATAATGTTTTATTGCTGTGAGGCACTCATTACAGCCACAAAGGTGACTCGCAAACTACACACACACAATGAAGGCCTTAATCAGGAGAGAATTCTAAACCTCAAGGTGCAACGAACTTAAAGCTCGAACAAAGGAGAAACCGTGGACAGTGGCACTCTCCGTCATACCCGACTGGCCAAGAATCGAAGCCGTTGCTGAGTTTAGACTACGTACCGGACACGATTGCTTGCCAAAACACCTTCACAGATTGGGAGTATACACTCAACCTACATGCCCCCTATGTAACCTACAGGAGGAAATGGAGAAGACCAACCTGATTCGGTGTCCAGCCCTAAAGACAACGATGGAAAACCAGAGATACTGGGAAGCAAGAAGACTGCTAATGAACTGTTATTAATTAACTGATATAAATGTACCCCCCACCCTTGGGGGAAGCTGAAGCCAAAGTTTAAGGGCTAATGATAAATATCATAAAACCTGCCATTTGAAATAAATCAATATTTATTAGAATTCAATCAAGTGCAAGTATTCGTTGAATGAAAATAATGTAGTTTTCATGGTCATTTATGAGGAAAATTCAGATTCAATACTGGGGGGATTTTATGACGAGTGATAATTTAATTGCCATTTATTAATTCAATTTAAAATTAATATCAATTGCTCCTTTAGGCAGACATGAGGTAACTTATATAATTTGCATAAATTTCGATATTTGCAGGACTTATATTTCAACAAAATTGAACCGCATAAATCAGGATTCTGATTCTATTGAGTGGCATTTCTTCTTAAAACCCGAGTAGTAAATGAGCTCATTTTATTACCAAAATCTTCCTAATTTGGGATATTTGGAACAGTTAATGTTATGATCATTAAATTTAGAATCAGACTTAATGCCGTTTTTATAAATAACTTTAAAAATCGTCTTTGCATTGATATATGTTGCGAGTATCTTTGCAACGGGTTTTTGATTTGCTCTTTAGAGAGGTCAGATAAACAATGCACATTAACTCCGCGATGTTTACTAACCTACGGTGAACTTTTGATATACTCATCTTTAAAACCCTCTTTAGCTGCCTGCTGCTCTGTCAAAGTTAGCATTCGTTCATTTTGGTTTGGAGTCCTTTGATTCGCTAATTTGCGCCTAAATTGTTGTTCAACTCGGTACTTTCAAATTTTGTTGAACGATCCTCTCTTGTTTTTGCACCGTAGTCGAGACACAATTGGTATCGTTCTCTCTCCTTAAGTGGTCAAGATAGGAAAAAAAGATTGACAACACAATTTCACTATCTACCACGCCTTTTCTAGGTAATTGCTTCTTTTGCATTTCTTTACTAAGGGCTAAATGGAAGTATCCACAATAACACTGAAATCTTGACTTGTTCATTTCGTAGACCAGTTCGGTGGTTTTAGAAATTTTACTAGCTTTTGCCATCTTCTGCTTCCATTTGGAATGTGAGCTATCAAAATGATCCCATTTAAATACAGTTTAAATAGTCTCATATCGATTAGATCTTTAAGGGCATTCGGTACTTTTCAATAATGCTGCAAGATCCAGATTTTTGAAAAGGAGTGGGAAACTTTGAACCAATGAATTAAGAATTCTAATTCAGTCGTTATTCACTTCAGATTATAGTGGTGATTAGTAATATCAGATCGTGCAACCTTCAGAAGCTAATCAACGTTACCCCGAAGCTATATTGACGTTGCATTAACGCCCTCATTTTAATTATTTAAATCCTACGCAGATTGAGGTACTTGAGTTAACCGCTGAGTATCACATTGTGGCGTAGGCGAAATCTCTTCAATAGTTAAAAGTGCTCTTTTAATTCTATAAACATTCGCAATCATATGACAGCCATGCATTACAGTGCTCTTATTAGATTGGCATTAAAATGCGTTTTCGTGATCGGTGTAATTTTTGCCAATCATGTTTTGAGTTAAATGCATAGAGGAGAGCGATCTTCTATGTCACCACTAAATCAATCGCCATGAAAAGGTTTGGGCTTGTCATACGAGTTGCTGGGGTTGTAACTACTACGACTCTTGTCGCATATCCATTGGCTTAAAAAAATACTTGCTAATCACACTAAAAGTATACTTTATGTGGTCCATAAAATACATCATCACCTTTTTTCTAAATTTTCAACCTTCGTATTTGAAACACTCTTTAGTTCCCCTCCTCTTGACTTTTTTTCACTTTGATGTTTCTTCCCCTCTGTGAAGCCTGAAGTCAACTAAAGGGCTAAAGATAACCATCAAACCGCCTGCCATTTTATATAATTTAATAAATATTATTCTTTATATGGTCCATAAAATAGCATACACTAACCCTCACTGGGAGAATGTAAATGAATAACTTCATTTTACCTCTTGAAGCATTGAAAAACCCCTCGTGAAAGTATAATAGTAAGATCAAAAAATTAATGGAAAACAGTATGTAAAGGAATGGGAGCAAAACAGTTTTTAAAATTTGTGGGCATGGGAATTTATTTCAAAATTGGAATTAACTCGACTAAAATCGCCACACACGAATTCACGACTATACAACATTGCCTTCTCCAAACTCAGTTTCTGCTCTAAGAGAAGTAGTTAATCATGAGCACGAAAGCGGCAATGAATCCAGAACCCGTCATTATTGCTATCTTCCCAGCAGGATTACATCCATCTATATTGCATTTGTGGTACCGAGTTGTGGTGATAGCTCCAGGTACCGATTCCAGTATTACAGTGACCTCTTTACTAAGGTCATCAGTTGAGCATCCACGAAAGTAAAGCACTATTGGTTCCCTTTCTTCACCCGTCGTCGGTTTGAATTTGATTGTCTAAAATACATGCATGAATTAAAACAAAACGCGGGAAAGAACATACTATCTTGTAGAACTCGCAGGACAATGCTTCGGGAGGGCATTCATTTAGTGGAACTAAGGTTGTGTTCAACGGGTAGCAGCCAGGTTGCGTTGAGGAATGGCATTGATAGCATTTTATGGCCTCAGCAATGGCGAGTGTTGAAAGAAGGAGGCAAATGGAAAGCACAACCTGTCTGCAATTCATGCTTTCATCAACTATTTTTACCAAAGTATGAGCAGACTTCCAATCAGTGAAATTAACCAATGAGACAGTATATTATAAGATGTGGTTGGTGTAACTTGGTGCCGCTGATAAGACATTCATCACGTGCACCTTTAAATCAATAACGGGTGTCTAAAAATGTCACCCTATTTCGAATAGCACCAGTCATTAATTTAAAATAGATTTCAAGTAGAAATCACATGTAAGATTGAATTAATTCAATCTACTTCAAATACTGACTTCTGTGACTCCTAAAAATTACTTAAGTGTGAAATAGTGATACCGGTTAAAAGCACTCTAACATTAAGAGTAA